GCTGGGGTGAAAACTTGCTAGCTCAGAGACGCACAGAAAGCACCCAGCTGACCTTCCTACTCAACTTATGGTCCAAAGGAGAAAGCAAAAAACCTGCTCGCTAAGCTGATAGCCCAGGAGAAGGCCTGCTAGCTCACCTGACAGCCCAGCAGAAAACAGCCAAAAGCTGGAAGCCAAATGAGCCCAAAAAAGCTAAAGAGCTAAAGAGCCCAAGAGCTAGAGAGCTAAAGCACTCTTCTCCAAGCTGTCTTAAATGCTCTTCTTCCAAAGTCACTTCTTTCCGTTAATCCCTGTTAGCTGGTTACTTGCTCCACCTCTTGACCTAGGGTTAACTTTATTAAATTCTGTGTACAGAAAGCTCGAGGATCAAAGGTATGTGCTGGGGCTGGCTGAACCATGCCAAAATCACCTATTTACAACAAACAGAAAGTTCTTGGATTAAAGGTGTGTGTTAGGACTGGGGCTGAACAACACCAAACAAAAGAAAGGGTTTTACAGTTCACAATCTATGGGATCAAACATCCTGCAACATTAAACCATCTCTAATAAGCCTAGCTATTGTTTATCTAGTGGCATAAAAATGTCCGCAGTATGAACAGGAGACTGGAAACTCATCTTTGAGGAGAGAGCTTAATCAGGGACTCCAGATGCCTTCTTACTGCACTTCCCTACCCACTTTCTGTTGAATGATTGCAAGCCTCCAATTTAAAGGCCTGTTCCTATCCTCTCTGATGGCTACTATAAGCTCCTAATTTAGTGATTTTTTTTTATAGGGGCTGTTTTTATCTGCTAATTGTTATTCATCAGTTTGCTTATTTTGGTTTATTAAGATGGATTCTGTCTGTGAAGGCCTGGTGTTATGCCTAGATCACAAGACCCCCAAGTCTGATGCAAAACACACAAGGGTCTTTCTTCAAGCTCGAGCTTGGGTTGCAATCCTTTCTGATGCAGCAGGTTGGGAGAGCGACAGCCAGAACCAAGGGAACAGGATTTTTAAAGGGAAAAACTGCAAACAGGGGCTTCCAAACCTTAGCATTGCACAATTGGACAAAAGGTAAAGGAATGAAATGCACTTGGACCTAGTTGGTTAACAGCATCGGGCCAAACTACAGAGAGAAACAGCTTGCCAAGAGGAGCATTGTGACCCTGGAAACAACGTTTTCTTAACTGACCCTGTCTTTATCGGTCTGCCTCAGTTGCTGTGTCTGTCTAGCTACAAGCTGCTGAGAACATTCTGTGGGTTTTTTTCTCAGAACTTAAGGGTGGGAACCAAGGTACTCCAGGGACAAGCTAACCTTGGATGGAGTCTGAGAATCAATATAGAGTTAGTTCTGCTATTTTAACCCTTTCACTGGCTGTCCTGGAACTCACTCTTTAGACCAAGCTGGCCTCAAGCTCACAGAGATCCTGCCTGGGCCTCCTGAGTTCTGGGATTAAAGTCAAAGATGTGCCACCATTTCTGGCTTTCTTTAAATTTTTTAAAAAATGTTTTTAGCCAGGCAGCGGTGGCACACACCTTAAATTCCAGCACTTAGGAGTCAGAGACAGGTGGATCTCTCAATTTTAGGCCAGCCTGGTCTACAGAATGAATTCCATAGTAGCCAGGGCTACACAGAGAAACCCTGTCTTGAAAAAACAAACAAGTAAATAAATAATAAAATTTAAAATGTTTATTATTTTTTATTTATGTGTATGTCTCTTTGTGTGTATGCAGGGGTCTGGCATGTCAAAAGAGGGTGTTTGGAGTCCTCAGTGCTGGAATTACAGGTGTTTGTGAAATACCAGGCCTGGCTGCTGGGAACCAAACTCAGATCTTCTGGAAGAGTAGGAAGCAGATAAAGCACTCTTTAATGAATATAGTATAAAAACATAAATGTAAAAAAGGATATATAATCACTTCATTCTGGAGGCAACAGAGAAACTAAGTGAAACACACACACACACACACACACACACACAATGTGATAAAATAAGAAAAGAGAATAGGGAGCTGGAGAGATGGCTCAGGTGTTGGCTTATTGGAGGAAGTGTGTCACCGAGGTTGGGCTTTGAGGTTTCAGAAGGCCATGCCAGGTCTAGGCCCTCTCTTTGCCTGTGGATCAGAATGCAGCAGTCAGATACTTTTTTAGCACCTGCCTGCTACCATGCTCTCTGCCACGATGATAATGGGCTAAGCCTCTGAAACTGTAATCAAGTCCCAATTAAATGCTTTTTTTCTTTTTTTTAAGTAAGAGTTGCCTTGGTCATGTTGTGTTGGGAATTATTCTAACACTGGCCTTCAAGATATGGTTATGCCTATCCTCGCTTTGTAAACCTGCCTAAGACATACCTGATTGGTTGATTAAACAGCCTATACCTGGGCAGGCCAGAATGAGGTAGGCATGGCTAAGGTTCTCAGGAGGAATCACAGGAGACAGACAGACTGCAAGCGAGGAGGAAGGAGTGAGCCACAATGGGTTAGTGTGGAGCAAACACCATGTGGGCTGAAAGAAGAAACCTCAATAATGGTATAAAGAGGTCCAGATGAAGAACACAAGCAGGTACCATGGATTATGGATGGAAGGTAGACCAGATGAGGATGATTAAGGCAGATAGCACTGGATGGGGGGTGGGAGATGGACAGTGAGGTTACTGAGCCAGCGTAGGTGAAATATCTGCCCAGTCCAAGGTAAATAAGGCAACTATAAAATCTAACAGGTGTCTGTGTTTTATTATTTGTGATAGCGGGTCAGATAATACTGCCGAGATAATCTTAGGGCTAATAATAAACACTATATAGCCCAACACTTCTTTTATTTACTACAATGGTGCCTCTTCCCAGCAATAAAACAGTGACCAAGACACTGAATAAACACACCTATTTCATGACCCATTAAAATATAGAACCAGAGACTAGAGAGATGGCTCAGCAGTTAAGAGCACTGACTGTTCTTCTAGAAGACCTGAGATCTACTTCTGCACCTTCAAGGAGGCTCACAATTGTCTGTAGGGGATACCATGCCCTCTTCTGGCATTCACAGGCATCAGGTATGCGCAGACATACACATAAGCAAAACAATCATTTGCAGGAACAAATACTGAGAGAGAGAGAGAGAGAGAGAGAGAGAGTGCTCTCGGAGTTGAACCCAAGGCTGTGCACATTAGACAAGCAGGTTACCATGGATCTCCAAACTCAACCCAGGGATGTATATGCATATGTCTATATGTGTGTGTGCATATCACAACCACAGAAAACAGAAAAAAACTAACAACAACAAAAGAAATGACGTGTGTGTGGGTTTGTGTAGGTAATGTATTTATCTGTGAGGCTGGGGGCGGATGCTCAGTCAGAGAAGACTTTTGCAGGCGTGGGGATGTTATTTCAATCTTTAATACTCACGTAAAAAACCAGCCATGGTGACGTTTTTTTTTACTCCCAGTGCAGGGAAGCTAGAGACAGGATTCCTTGGACTCACTGGCCATCCAGTCAGGCTTAATTGTTGAACTCCAGACCAATGAGAGAGTTTGAAGAATTCATATCATTAAAAAGTCTAACTCATTAAAGCCATCTACAGAGCTAACAGGAGGGACGTCATTGAAATGCTAACTATGTTCTCCATACAACTAGAAAAATAATCAGAGAACCCATAGGGGAGCCAAAAAGACCCCTAATAGTCGAATTAACGTTGATCAAAAAGAGCAAAGTTCAAGGCCTCTCAGTCCCTAATTTAAGACATACATGGAACCACAGTAATAAAGAGCACCATACTGGTGTAAAGACAGACACTCAGCAATGGAGTGGCCTGGCTACTCAGAACTACTTCATGCATTTGCAGCCCAATGATTCTTGACAATGGTGCCCAAACCACACAAAAGACAGACTCTTCATCGAATGCTGCTAGGAAAACTGGATATTCACTGCAGATCAACCACCCTCTTCAGCAATAACCCAAGCTGGCAGTGAATCTTAGCTTAGGTAATGGCTGCCAAGCCTGATGACCTGAGCTGAACCTCACCCCACATGGTGGAAGGAGAGAACCTAGAGCTACTTGTCGTCCTCTGACCTCTATGTATGAGCTATACATGTACTCCTCTTCACAAACGAGAAAAAAAACAATAGACTTGAAATGAGTCAAAGGTGTTAATGTAATGCCCAAAACCGTAACAAGAAAACACATGCGAAGTACTTTAAAGATATTGCTGTAGATAGTAAAAATTTTTTTCTGAACAGGACTCCAAATGCAAAAAAATAAAAATAAAAATGGCAAGTGGAATTACATAAAACTAAATGCTTTTCCATAACAAAGGAGACAAAACTGAAGAGACAACTTACAGGATGGGAGGGAATTTATCTAAGAGAGGGCTAATCTGCAGGGTCAAGAAAATAAATTTTATTTGAAATAGGGCAAATGAACTAAATAGACACTTCTGAAGAGAAAAAAATAAAATCTGTACAAATGAAAAAAAAATGTTCCATGGTTCCCCATCATTAAAAAAAAGTTTTTTTTCTTCAGTATTCTCATTTACGGATGGCGGTCAACCTCTTTCGTTTAGGTCTTTTTGCCTACACGTATGTATGTGCAACCCTGTGTGCCTTGTGCCCACGGAAGCCAGCAGAGGGTGTCAGCTCCGCCGGGATTGGAGTTACACGAGGTTATGAGTCACCCCGCAGGTGCCGGGAATCGAACTGGGGTCCCCTGCACAAGTGACAGGCGCTCTTCACAACGCAGCCGCCTCTCCGTAGGTGTCGGTGGTGGTTCTTAGAGCATTCTCTGGAAGGCTCCACTGAGCACTCGGGAACTCAGAAGACCAGCACGTGTGGAAGCCACGGATGGAGACCGGAGGGAGCACGACTCTGAGGGGAGAGCTGGAGCCCGGCGCGGGGAGGCCACAAAGCCCCGCCCACGAGCGGCACGGGGCATGCGCGCTGAGGCTCCGCCCACGCGTCTCCTGGACACGGCTCCGGTGTGAGGCGGGCGTGGCCTCCCGCCTCTAGCCCGGCTTTGGCGTCCCTGCAGGCTTCTCCGGCCTTGGTGGGGGTAACGGCCTTGGCACCTTCTCCGGGGGGTCCGTGCCGCGCGCCCCGCCTCTCAGGGTCTTGCCGTCGGTCCCCCAGTCTTCCTCGCGCGGTCTGGCCGCCATCTCGCCCAGGTCCCCCTCTTCTTCCCGGGCGCCGTCCTCCCTGCTAGGCCCCCGGCACCTCCACGGGGTACCTTCCTGCAGGACTCTTCGGCCACAGGGTCACCAGGAAACTTCTGGGTTGACCCCAGCAGACGATAGAGCAGCGAGGAGTGGACGCGGTGGCCTCCGTAGCCGAACCCCCCCAAACTTCAATGCTTCTCTTGAAACCGCACACCCCGATTTGTTTGAAATAAAGGTAACCTTCCCACCCGCGCGCCCCGGCTCTGTAGATGTGGCAGGTTGCTCCTGTTGTATGTTTTGCTGGGTTTTCCTCAGTTCTATTGAGGGTGGCTGTTGTGTGGTGATGCCTGGACTCTGTCCAGTAGCATCAGCGTTTTGAGAGGCCCCGCGGCATGCGTCAGAAAAGGATGTTTGCCGCCTCCCTGGAGGGGGCTTTGAGAATTCCAAACGATGGAAGGTGGTCTGTACAACCTTCTGAAGGGCACCGTCCCGAAATCCAGAAGTGGTTTGCTGTCTTTTACGTTTTACTTGGAAAAGTCTACATATTTCCAAACAAATCCTTACCATGAATACGTATGTGTTTATCTTTAATTTCTAGAGTACTTATTAAACAAAAACCGTAATGCAGTTATCCCACAAAAACCAAAACTTAACAATTTATTATCTCTAGTACATCAATTAGGATAGACACCAGTAGAATCTGATGATGATTATTGAATCGTGTTCAGTTTTCTCTAGTTGCCTTTTAACAATTCCGTATTTACGTGAAAGTTGTAAAAATAATATAATTAAATATGTACTTTATTCAGATTAACCAGTTCTTTATGTTTTGCCATACTTTATCTTTCTCTTTATACATGTGCATACACATAGTATTTAGGAACTATTAACTACCTAGAAATAGCTTTGCAGTTGGAGGTGAATTGCATGTATTATGCATTCTTATAGTCACTCTTCTTTTCATTCAATGATAAATAGTCATCAGATTTAGGAAACAGCATTGAATAATGTTGTTTATAGCATTTTTTTTTTTTGTTTTCTGATACAGGATAAAAATGCATTTGGTTGCCTTGTGTAATTAAATCGTCTTTAATTTGGAACACCTGAGCTTTTGTTTCTTTACCATACTGGTTAGCTAGTTTTATGTTAGTTCTAACACAAGCTAGAATCATTTGGGAAGAACCTCAACTGAGAAAATGCTTCTCCCCCCAGATTGGAACTGTGGTCAAGCCTGTGGGGCACTTTCTTGGCTGATGATTGATGAGGCAGGGCTCAGTTCAGTGAGGTAGTACCACCCTTGGGCTGGTGGTCCCGGCGTGTATACGAAAGCAGGCTGTGTAAGCCGTGGGCTTACTCAGTAAGCAGACCTGAGTGGTCTCTGCATCAGCTCCTGCCTCCAGGTTCCTGTCTGGAGTGTCTGACCTGTCTTCCCTGGATGATGGACTACAAGCTATAAGATGAAATAGATCCTTTTTTTCTTCCCCACATTTCTTTTATTCTTGGTGTTTTACTGCAATAGAAACCTTAATTGCGATGGAAATTGGTACCAGGTCATGGGGTACTTCTGGAACAGACCTGACCATGTGTTTGGGATGATTGTGGTGACATTTGTAGTTTGGTCTGGAAAACTGGTTGAGTGCTCAGAGCTCAGTGGGCTGTTGTGTTGGAGCTGGGAAGGGTAGTGTTGAGAGAAATGAAAGGATGGAGGCCTGGCTTGTGGAGCACAGGTGGAAGCAAAGACCCTCACCGGCCTCATTCAGGTGATATTCAAGTTTCAATTAAGAACCACTAAGGTGAAATTTTTGCTTTGCTGGGACACTTGATAAGGTCAGCTGAGGCAGAAGAATCAGTGGTGATTAAGAAGAGACTAGCATCATTGAGAGCCAATTTCCTGGGAAGTGTTTCCTTAGGGTCAGCCTGCTGAAGCTGTGGTCCAGAGGAGGTTAAGGATGTGCCTTGTTCTGGCAACCATACATGGTAGTGTGTAAGAGTTTCCCAGTTGGCACTGATTTTGAAGGCGTGAAGGGGTTAGGGAGAACAGCTGAGTTTATTGGTTAAGATGTTACTCCCCCCCTCCCCCCCCATATTGCAGGAGGATTAAAATTCAAGGTAAGAGTGGCTTATAAGGCAGTTCAGGCTAGCCCGGACTTGAGGAGTTTGGTCTAGTTAGAGCACATATGTCACTGGGGGTGCAGCTTTGAAGGTTGTACCCGTTCCCCTGTCTCTACTCCTGCTTTTTTTCTCCTGTGAGGTGAAGACTCCCCTCTTCCCTGTGCTCCTATAGCCATGGTATTCTGCCCAAACAAGTGTGGCCAACCATCTGTGAGCTGGGCCTTCTGAAACTAAGGCACAGAAAATCTTTCCTCCCATACGTAGGTGGTTTCCATCCCTGTTTTGTCACAGTGTTGAGAAAAGTAACTAACATTCTCTGCAAATATTATGGGCTAAACATTATTATTGCTCTTATTCACAGGATCTTGTGACTGGCTTTGTTTAATTGGTTATTGGCATCTCAACAAGCATGGAGATAAGATTAGAAGTTTTGACATCAACAAGTATCAAGCAGAAAAAACCCTGGCCCAGAGTTTCCTGGTTGGGTCAAGTGAGTTTTTCTTTATTCATATATTAATGGTTTTATATTTGTTAGATATGTGCCTCTCCTGTAAGATATAGGAATATTCTGTGGCCTTACAAAACAACAACAACAAAACCACCTCATATTCAGATAGATCACCTGACCCCTGAGTGGGGTTATGTGTGTGCGTGTTAAAGTTATAACGTACAAGTTAACATTTACAGAAAATTAAGTCATCTATCTAGGTAAAAGCTTTTGTTTTTAATTTTTTTCTTCATACCATATTTAAAGGGAGTGTTGAATTTCCTACACTTGCCCTACCAAAACAGCAGAGTGTTTGCTAATACAGTGTCCTTCATAAGTGTGCTATAAAGTATCCCCTCCTGGAACAGGAGAAGTGGGCCATAAGGCCTTGATGATCCAGGGATGCCATTCATAACATATGGTATAGCACTAGCACCTGAGAGTGGGCAAACCTACAGAATTCCCTTCTAATTTTTAATGATCATTAACATAAAGATTTAAAGTTTCAGTGAGAAAACCTACCATTAATTAACTTTATTGTAACATGAGTTCTCTACTGTTTTTTTTTTTCCAGTGTTTTAAATGTTTTGTGTTTGAGTGTTTTCCTTTCATGTGTATGTACACTACATGCATGATTGGTTCCCACAGAAGACAGTAGAGGGGTACAGTTGTAAGCTGCCACATGGGTGCTGGGAATCAAACCCACGTCTCCTGGAAGAGTAGCCAGTACTCTTAACCACTGAGCCTTCCTCCAGCCCAGGAGTTTTCAACTTTTATATTCATCAGAATCATACAGACAGGTGAAATTTATTCAACCATAAAGGAAAAATTTTGAAGGATCATGAATGGAACTAGAGATCATCCTGCTAAACAAAAGAAGCCTGACACAGAATGACAAACCTGAGGGCTGGAGAGGAGGCTCAGAGGTTAAGAGCACTGTCTGCTCTTCCAGAGGTCCTGAGTTCAATTCCTAGCAACCACATGGTGGCTCATAACCATCTAATGAGATCTGGTGCCCTCTTCTGGGGTACAGGTATACTTACAGACAGAACATTGTATACATAAATAAATAAATCATTAAAAAAAGACAAACCCTGCATGCCTACACACAAAATTTAAAAAAGCTTCATCTAAAAATAAATACATATATGATGTAAAAGTAGAAAGGAAGCCATGTGGGAGGAAGAAGGGGTCCAGTGGGAGGTGGACAGGACAAAAGAGGTAATGGGAAAAGGAGAAAGATAAATATGCTGTGTTTTTCTCATGTTTCATCTAGACTTTATGTATATGTGCATACATCACATAAAAGCAGAAGGGGGAGTAAGTTCTTGGGGGTAGGACAAGAACAAGGGAGGTTAATGGGCCAATATGAGCAAAATATGTGATAAGTATGTGTAAAAATGTTGTGATGAAAGCCATATTTGTACACTAACTAAAATAATAAAAATAGGTTGCTGAGCCCCATAGCACTTGCAACTCAGTAAGTCTGGGCTGTGTAATTTATTTTTGTTTGTTTGTTTTGGTTTTTTAAAGTTTAGACTGTTTCAAAACTTTGTTTATATGTTCTATGTATCTGAGTGTTTTGTTTGCATGTATGCCTGCATGCCAGAAGAGGGCATCAGGTTCCATGACAATTCCATGAGACTACAATTATAGATGGTTGTGAGCCAGCATGTGGGTGCAGTGAATTGAATCAGGATCTCAGGAATAGTAGTCAGTTTTTTAGCCACTGAGCCATCTCTCCAGCTCTGGTAATTTGTGTTTTTAACAGATTCTGAAGTGTCGCTGCTGCTGCTGGCACTGCAATTTCATCTAAAATTCCCTACCTTTTTCTAGATAAAAAAAAGTGATCAGGGTCAAGAGCTTATGGATTTCCAAAACCATATTCATTTTCATCTAATCAAAAAGTATAAAAACTTGTCCATAAATAGGACACTAAATAAATTTGGCTTGCTAAATTGGCAAATTCTCCTAGAATGTTAACCTTTAAAGAACTTTAAATGCAGCTGCTACATTACCTTACCCAGTAATTTTAGCAAGAGGTATTTTTATTATTTAGTTGTTTTCATAGTGCTAGATACAGAATTAGGACCTCGTGCATGCTAGAAAAGCAAACACTCTTATCACTGAGCAACATCCTAGCCCAAGTCTTATTTTAAAACAGAATGAAAATGTTTAGGTTATAGGTTTAATGTTTACTTTAGATTTGTGGTATAAATTATTCTTATTCTTAAATGTCATTTTGTTTTCCTTTCTAGAGTGCTTTATATAGACAAGATTAAATTAACTTTTGGGACCACCTAAGTCCTTCACATGTTTTTTCTCTTAGGAAAATGAAGCTGTATTTCTTTTGGATGAGAAAGCCATAAATGAAATTAATTTGCTGTCAGGAAGAACAAAGAAGAAGATTCCTAGTCTGCAGCCTTTGTTGAAGGATGTTTTTTTTCTGGCAACATCCACTAATGGTTAAGTAATCCTGATATGTTCAAAAGGCTAGCTTACTATTTTTTAAAGAAAAAAAAAGTGAGTGATAGTGTATTAAAATTTACTTTTTGCTTTTGAACAGATGTGTGGCTTTCTGGGGTCCTTACTACAGGAGAGGTTTTCCTGTGGAACAAAGATCAAGATTGTTTGAAAATGATACAAGTGACTGAAAAGCCTAAAGAAATAATTACAGCTACAGTAGGTAGGGATTTAAAAAATGTTGTGTAACCAGAAAAAGACTATGGATTTTTTTATAGTACTATTTTGATAATTTATCTCTTTTTTTGTGTGTCTGCATATCTATTTCTATCTATATAATGTATGTTCTGAAACTTGGTTGCTACTTCTTTGCACCTGATTCAACTTGAAGGAGAAAACCTGGCATGACTGTCCTTGCTGAGATAACAGGTTCCTAATGTCACACAATACTGCAGGTTTTGCGCTGCAGGTCTGTAATCCCAGCAGTTCAGGAGACTGAGGCAGGAGGAGCAGGAAGTTAACTGTTGCTTAGAGCTCAGATAAAGCTGAAGGCCAGCTTGAGTGGCTTAGTGAGACCCTGTTTCGAAATTAAAAGTAAAAACAATTTTAGGAGTGGGTCTCCGTGTTCAAGCACTTGCCCAGCATGCAGAAGGCAATAGGCTCAATTCCCATTATTAATGTTGGGCATGGTGTTGCATGCCTTTAATCTCAGCACTGGGAAGCAGAGGCAGGCAGATCTCTGTGAATTTGAGGACAGGCTGGTCTACATAGTGAGTCCCAGGACAATCAGGGCTACAAAGAGAAAGCCTCTCTCAAAAAACAAACAAAAAGTAGTAAATGTTATTGTTGTTTGTACTTTTATTATTAATGCTTTAGTTTAACATCCTGACTGTTAAAGAGCTTGTGTTTCTTATTGCAAGGGTAGCTAACCTTGCCAGGCAAGCATTTGGGAGACTGAACTAGGAGGATCACAGTGAATTTGAGGCTAGCCTGGGCTACAGAATGAGACACTAGTTCATAAAAGCAAGCAACAAACAAACAAATGTGCTTTCTTGAAAAATTCAGACATCAGAAGTTTAATATTTTGTTTTGTTTTGTGTTAATTAGCAAGCTCTTCAAGACTATACTTATATGTAGCTGAAAATGGGAAAAGAGTTCTACTTATTACATCTTCTGGCTACATACTTCTGTGGGAGTATTTGGAATTGAAGAGTATCCTATCTTCTAAAAGCCTCTCATTGGTGGGTCAGTGGTCCCAGATCACACCTGAAGAAGCAGTTTTATTGCCTTCCACTAAAGATAAAGAAGCTGTAGTGGATGCTGTTTTTGTTAAAAATGAGGTAAAATCCAAATGCAATGCTATGGAGTCGAGCTCTTAGACTGTGAGAACTGGCCGTGTGAGAGGAGCTGTTTAGTCAGGGGTATAACTGCACACTGTTTGTCACTAGTCAGAGCAGGTGTAAAATTCCTGTTTGGAAAGATGATTGTTAAAATGGTGTCAAATTAAAACTCCCTTCCTCTAGTTTATAATAGGACTTGTAATGAGCACGGTGGGCTATATCTGCAGTCTAGGCGATTGGAGGTGGGGAGCAGATGTGCAAGGACTACCCCAAGTTTGAGGCCAGCCTGGGTTGCATAGTGAGCTCCAGGCTATCTTGGTTATATAGCAAGGCCTTGTCATAAGCAACCAAGTTAAAATAAAGTGCATGTTTTGTTAGTTAATAAGTTAGAACAGATGGAGTTTAAGAAGTCATTAATTCTTATGATATAGTACATTTATTGTTTAATATAAAAAATTTAAATATGTCATATAGTCTCTATAAAATTTTGTTACTTTTGTTAGAAATTGCATTTTGAGGGCTAGAGAGATGGTTCAGAGGTTAAGAGCACTGGCTGCTCTTCCAGAGGTCCTGAGTTCAATTCCCAGCAACCTATGTGGTGCCTGGTCACAACCATCTATGATCTGGTGCCCTCTTCTGGCATGTAGCTATAATAAATAGATAAATCTTTAAAAAAAAAAAAAAAAAAAGAAAAAGAAAGAAAAAGAAAAAAGGAAATTGCATTTTGAGCCGAGAATTGTATTTTGAAGTCAGGCTTGGTGGTACATGCCTATAATCTCAGCACTATGGAAATAGAGGCAAGATGATCGGTTCAGACCAACCTGAGTTATGTGACAGCCTCTCTTTAAAACAACAACAAAAACAAAATAGGCTGGGGTTGATGCAGGCCTTTAAGCCCAGCACTCAGGAGGCAGAGGCAGGTGGATCTCTGTGAGTTCGAGGCTGGGCTACACACAAAGAAACCCTGTCTCAAAACAAAACAAAACAACCACCAACAAAACAAAACACCCTTTATTTTGTTGTCCCCTACTGGACTTGAATGTAAACAACATGCTCAGGGCCCTGGGTTTTCTCCCCAACCCCAAAAGAGCTCTTCAGGCTGACTTTCCATCGGGTCTTGCTTCTGGCAAAAGAAAAATATCTTAGCCTTCAGCTTACTATTAAGAAAGAAATATGAGCTGTGTCCCATATTTTCTTTTTATATGAGACATTTTCATATATTAGTTTTCAGATTAATTTTATACTAAATTATTAAATTTATCTACAGTTATGTGGTGACTGCTGCCTGTGTTCGTTTACTTTTTATTCTGGAGAATGCTTGAAGTTAGCATTTCTGGCCATTCAGTGGTATGAGAATATACTTGTGTCTGTAAGGTGAGGTAAATATTTCCCTTTCTCTCATTTTCTACTATTAAACAAGAAATGTCACTTTTGACTAGTATATATTTAAGATTTTTAGATCTTAATTTTTGTTTTTTAAGGCTTTGTAGATCTTTTCTTCCACCTTTTATTTTTAAACATTTAAGCTAGAGAGTTACTCTTGTTTTTATTTCTTTTCCTAGAAGGGGGACCCTGTAAGAGATAGCACATTTTGTGGTATATTTGTCTTGATACTATAAAAATAATTACTTTGAAATGAATTGAAGTTTAAAGTGGGCAAAAATAGTTGGATTTACTGTTGTACCTTTGAAATGACCAACTGTTATTTTTAGATGAAGTCTCATTATGTAGCCCTGGCTATCCTGGAACTCTGTGTAAACCAGGCTAGCCTTGGACTCACAGAGATCCTCTTCTCTCTGCATCCCACGTGCTGGAGCCACCATACCTATCCAAGTGTTTTTGTTTTTTTAATAGTAAAATAATTTGTATTCTAAGTTCCATAAAATAGAGCAAAATATATTAAAAGTTGATAATAGGGCTGGAGAGATGGCTCAGTGATTAGAACACTGTCTGTTCTTCCAAAGGACCTAGGTTCAATTCCCAACACCCACATGGCAGCTCGCAACTGTCTAACCCCAGTTCCAAGGGATCTGGTACCTTCACAGTAATGCACATAAAATAAAATTAAATAAACTATTAAAAAATAGTTTATAATACCTATGTAAGATTTGGGAATGTAATGTGACTTCATGGATTATGTTAATAGTACTTTGTTATGCACATAAAGTAAAATAAATCATAAGCTTATAAGTAGGTTGATAAATATATACATCTAGCTAATCATCTCTCAGAACAAGGGTAGGAAATTGACATAATTTAAAAAGTTCTGTTTGTCTTTTTTTCTCAGTTTTAAAAATTAATGTTCATTAATCATATAAAATGTTTTTATGACATCTCATTTGATCATATTCATATCTCTATTGTCCTCACTCATTCGCCTTCTCTATTTTTATGATGCCAGTAAAAAGTTTGCTGTCAAATAAAAATGTTTAAACATTTTGTTGAAACAGGTATATTTAGGTTTGATTATGGAACAAAACTTTACTTATAGAACTCCAGCACCGAACAACACAGATTGAGTGACAGTTACTGAACAGTCACTGGTATGTCTTACGTGGATGCCCATTACTGAGGTTTTGGTAGAACCTTTTATTTTTTGTTATGAACTGTGTGTCAACTTCAGAATTTTATATGAACTTGGCATGGTCTCATATAGCTTTTAGTCTCTCTTAATTGGGAGGCTGAGGAAAGAGGTTCCTCAGAGGTTGATCCCAGGAGTTCAAGGCCAGTCTTAATATATATTGAGACCTCATCTCAAAAGCAAATACACATCAAAAATAAGTAAATAAAATTATCAAACCTTGCTATCATCTCATTACTTTCCTAGGTCATTGCCATTCCGTGTTCACTGGGCACAACAGGAATGTCTTCTGTGCAGTCTGATTCCTAAGTGTGCATCAGTGAAGACAAGAGGAGCTCTGGTCTCTGCCTTCTCCAGAGATGGCCTTGCCCTAGCAGTAACTCTTAATCAGAAAGACCCAAAGGTCAGTAAATAGTCTTTGTCCTTACTACGACTTTATGTTTTAGGTCCATTGTGTTTTGGTAAGGTTACATAAATTAGCTGTTATGATTTTTAAAAGTGTTTCTGAAGAAATGTAAAGGTAAAAAGCTAATCTTGGGTGGGTGATGGTGACACATACCTTTATTAATCCAGCACCAGGGAAGCAGAGGCAGAGAGGGATCTCTGAATCTTGAGGCCAGCCTGGTCTACACAGATAGTTCCAGGACAGCCAAGACTACACAGAGAAACCCTGTCTCACAAAGACAAAGCAAAAAATGCTTATCATGGTGGCAAATGCCTGTAATCTCAACACTCTGTGTACTGGGGCAAGAGGATTTGAACGCAAGGCCAGCCTGGGCTACATAGCAAAACCCTGTCTCAAACACAACAAAACAAAGTAAAAAGTGAAAGGAGGATAAAAGAAACAGGAAAAGAGAGTAAGAACAATGGTGATGTATGTTAAGCCCAGCTGTGTGCAGGCGCAGTGAAAGAATTTCAAGTTTAAGGCTCCTCTGAACAGCTGAAGTAAAGAGGTGTGACACACTGACAATATGCTGGCTTAGAGACTACTTGCTGTACTGGTATGATGATGGCTCTCTCGGCCTCCACTGTGTAAGCAATACTTACAGCAAGATAATGTCATTGCTTATGTCATGGTTTTTTCCCTTCTAGGCAACTCAGGTCTTGTTTATAAACACATTGAATTTTGTTACTCTCTGTGGTGGCCTTAAAGGATGTAGTAATAAGAATCCTGTGGTCCCAGCTACGCTTATCAGGTAAGAAGAACACATGTGCTTATTTCTAAGGAGGGTTTTTGTTTTCTTTTCAGTACTTTAAGAAGTTTGAAGCTCTACTAATTATGTAAATATCGTTTAGATAAAGAATTCAGCTTACCTTTTTACCTGGTAAATTCTGTAAGTTACTTTATATAAAGAAAGCCTCAGCTGGGCGGTGGTGGTGCATGCCTTTAATTCCAGCACTTAGGAGGCAGAGACATGTGGATCTCTGTGAGATCAAGGCCAGCCTGGTCTACAAAGCAAGTCCAAGACAGCCAAGGCTACAGAAAAGCCCTGTCTTGAAAAACCAAGAAAGAAAGGAAGGAAGGAAAGAAAGAAAAAAAAAGCAAGAAAGAAAGCCTCCTATACTTTTAAAGGAAGGATAGGGTTAAAAAAAAATACATGCATTTCCTTTTTCTTTTTTCTTTTTTTCTTAGAAATGGAATTGTGAGTAGGTAGAGCTTCATTAGGGAGGGTAAGATGAAGAATCATCTGAGAGGGGAGACGACCATCATTCATTCAGGAAGGCTGCATAGCTTTTTAAACAATTGACATTGTTGGTATCTTTTGGATAACACATAAATTATAAGACCTGTACAAGTTGGGTGTGATGGTACACACTTGTAATCCCAGCACAGCAGGGGGATCTCTGGGAGTTTGAGGTCTACATAGCAAGTTTCAGAACAGGCAGGGCTATAGAGAGAGAGAGCCTGTCTCCAAACTGTTAAAGACCTGTACAAGATTGGAGTACAAAGATGTCCTCTTGAACTCCTAACCTCTTTGTTACTGAACACTTCCTGTGCTATTCTCTGAATTTGCGGAGTGGTCAGGTCATCTAGCCCCTTCTTCTTATTTTTTCCCTCCCCACATTTCCTTTCCAAGAGCAGCAGTGGCCTCAGCTCAGTGGTCCTTTTGACTTACGTTTGCCATTGTCAGATGGATGGGAGCTGCTTCTGTTCTAGTGACACATTGATACTGCCAGGGAGTTGAAGAGAGGAAACAGCTTTGGGAAGAGGCAGTGTGCTGGTAATTGGGACTTCTGTCAGATACAGAGTGGAGGCACGGTCTTGGTCTCAGACTGTTCACTGGTCTTGGCTGTAGGTGCCAGTGAGATTAGTGCATCCTGATCAAAAGAGGAGTGACTAATTAGCTCAACTTTGGGAAATATTTTCCTTTCTGAATTGCTTACAAATCTAAGTACGTTTCTAATTGCAGTGTTGCTGAAGTACATGTATGTAAGCCTTTTTTTTTCCTATAAAATAAAATTCACAAAATTTATGTGAGAGTTGGCTACCATCCAGTCCCTTCTAAAACTGTATTTGTTTTTTCTAGGTCATATTGGGTAGGTGACATGAGCTGGACACATGACAGTCTTTTTCTGGCTTGTGTATTAAAACGTGGCTCCCTGGTTTTGTTGACCTGCCTAGGTGAATTGCTAACGTTAGTTACATTTGGTTGCTCTATAGAATTTGGGCCAGCTGAGTTTATTCCTCTTCATCCACTAATAACATATAGGTGAGAAATTTGAATTGTTTTATCTACATAACTTATTTTCTTTGGTGATTAATTTTATTATGTACTTTTAAAAAATCAGTTTCATCCCCAAATTTGTCTTTTTCTTTCTGTGAGTCTATCTTTTTGTCAATATATGTTTCTTATTTGTTCCTAATTATTTATAGTTTTCTTCCTATTTCTTTTTGTGGCTTAATCCTGGTGAAAATTTGACATTGTGACTATGTAAGTATAAAGTTATTTAAGTATTTAAGTATTTATAGTACTAAATACTTATCTTTACTATAAAAGATAATAAAACATGACATTTATTATTTTAAAAATGTAGCTCGGAGAGAACTTAGTAACTGAAAATTAACATATTTTTCCAAAGGACATAATCGGTTAGTAATAGACTGTAGAGTGTAGCCATATTTAGATATTAATTGTGAAAGGAAATAGCAATTTGACCTTGTAGTCAGACAAATCATTTAAAATACTAGTTTTCCTATGTCCTAGTTCTATAAGTGAATAAATAGTTCCTTAAGTCTCAGTTTCTTTTCTTGTGAATTGCGGATGACAGTAATTGTCTTTTAGGATTGAGGAAATGAAGTAAGGTTATACATTATGTGCAGTTCTCTTATATAGTAAGTGCTGAGTAATTTTTTGTTTACTGTATGTAGTTAGATGCATACAGAGAGCTATTTTCAAAATTAATTCATCTTAAAAAATGTGTGTGGAGGTGGGTGTAATGTGGAGTGGAGACCAGAGTCTTCAGATGCTTCTGAAGCTGAATTTATAGGTGGTGTGACTCCCCCACATGGGTGCTGGGAACCAAACTCCAGTCTTCTGGAAGAGCAGCAAAAGTTCTCAACTGCTGAGCCATCTCTCCAGCCCCAAGAGCTCTTTTTTAGATGGAAAAGCTAGAAATGGCTTTTGAAATGCGTAAGTCTGTAGAAAGGAAGCTGTTGGTTCTGTTCAGCAGAAGAGCAAAGCTTCATTTTCAGTGACTACCAATGCTCGGAGAACACTGTCAGGTTCTATAGTGAACAGTTTGACGCTTTTATGTCTTATTTATAAATATTTTATGTTATATTTATACAACATTAAATGTAATAGGCAGTTATACTGCATAACCAGAGTCACCTACACCATTATAACAGACGTACATTTATGTGAGAAGCTAATCTAATTTTAAACTCATAAAACATCACTCACAATTATATTCTTCAAACGTCCTTTTTAATAACAAGTGTACTAATTGTAATTCCTATAATTTTATTCCTATATTTACATATTTTAGAAAGAAAGCCAGCTACTAAACTCTGTAATGATAAAAGTTAGATTCCATAATTTTTTTTTCAAACAGGTTGCATATAGTTAAAGAAACATAATTGATGTCACAAATTTGAGGAGAAAATTTGGAAACATGTAAAAACATATGTTTGGTCACTGTTATATTTCCTGGGAAACAAATATGCACTTAGTAGTTTTATGTCTGTTTCATCTGCTTGCTGTCTCATCATTCTATGTGCTTACTTTGCCTTTTTTTGAATAATACGGCTACTTCGTTTAATATCCTTCTCTTGGCTGATCTTGACTTTTCATGTTTGTTTGCTAGACCACAGCAGCTTACCTTTCAAGATTCAAATAATTCTGTAGACTCATCAGCCTCTGAGAGTGACCCTCTGAGACAGAGGTTTTCTATAAAAGCACATTCACGGCTACCCTACCTTATTATTTCTGATGGATACATGATCACAACCCTTCGGTTTCATGATAACCAGTCTCCAACAATGCTCATGAGGTCGTTGCTACTTGATTCAACCCAGAGTCTTGAGAAAGTATACCAAAGTATGATGCTATTTAAGGTATAGTGACTTTAGTAAAAGTACCTTTTTGTTCCTTTCAAAGTTGCTGTCTTGTCAGTATTATTAGCAATATTAGTCTTTTTGACATTAGAAGTTTTAATTGCTTCAGATTTACAGATAAAAATTTCCCTTGGAAATTGTTTGTCTCTTTTTCTGTAGCCAAGGGACAAAGGGCTGAATTTCCGATCTCTGGATTCCTTGAGGTCTAGCCTGTTAAAGCGTCAAGGAAAGGAAAGTTCAATACACTGCACAGTCCCCAGGTTTTTGCAGGCAGAAGAAACAATGAAGTTAAATGAAACCACAGATTTTCAGGTACTTATTAGTAAGTACATACTGACCTTATTCTAAGAAATTTATTGGTTTGTGTTTGCTCATTTGTTTTTTTGTTTAAGGAAATAGAAATTTAAGAAGAACACAGTGATTCTATGCATAAGGGTTGAATGGTATTAAATATAATTTCTCCCCTTGAGTTTAGGATTTTGAAGGAGAAGAAACTAATGAAGTTGAACAATTTCCAAACAACTCATTTTCTTTTTGTAACCAAAGAAAAGATCTACTGTTCAGCATTGTCAAGGACGGAAGATTGGAATTTGCATCTATGTTTGATACAGTTCATGCAAAGGATGATTCTGAGGAGACAGATAGAAACACTGCAGAACTGCATTGTATCCAGAAAAAACTGCTTGCAGCTTGGACTATAGGAATTTCAAAAAATATAACAGAAAAAAAGTTAATGTTAAATTACACCGTGCTGTGCATCACTCATTTTTTCTATATTCTTCAGTTTATAAAATGTCCTTTGCCTAAATTTGATCTGTTTTTAAATAAGAATCTGAAGCATAACGTATGGGTACTTTGTATCTTTCAACTTTTTCATCAGTGCTTATCAACCCACTATTGGGATATGAGATACAGACAAAATATGGGCCATTTGATAAAGCTTACCTCAAACACCATAAAGCTTTTACTGACTCAGCAACAAAAAAATGGATTATTCTCAGAGAAACTTTTAGCTTGCTTTTCTTTACTCCAAACTGTAGCTGACTATTTAAATGACATATGCACTCTTCAGCCTGAGGCTATTTCAGCACCAGCTGATAAAAATAAAACAGCAGAGCTAGACTCATTAATGGTACCTATTTTTCAAGCTTCTAAGGAAAATTGGTCTTGGGACTCACCTTTAAAGACTTTTCCTCAAGTGACAAATCTCGTTCAAAAGCCAGCTCACAGGTAAGAATACTAGCTTGATTTGTTGTTTGTTTTTTTAATAGTTTCTTTTTTTAAAGATGTATTTATTATGTATACAGTGTTCTACTTGCATATATGCTTGCACACCAGAAGGGCACCAGATCTTTATAGTTGGTCGTGAGCCACCATGTGGTTGCTGGGAATTGAACTCAGGACCTGTGGAAGAGCAGCCAATGTTCTTAACCTCTGAGCCATTTCTCCAGCCCGCCATTGATTTCTTATGGTATAATATGAGCTGTAGGGTTTTTTTTTTTTTGGTAGTTTTTATTATATTTATAAGGTTTTAAACTATTAGTACTAATCACAGAATATTTTTCACTCCAGAAGGAAACTTTGTAACCATGGATCATAGCATTAAAATATGCTTGCTTGCTTGCTTGCTTAATTAATTAATTAATGAGACAGGGATTCTCTGTGTAGCCTTGGCTATGTTGGACTAACTTTGTAGACCAGGCTGTCCTTGAACTTACAGTGATCTCCTGCCTCTGCCTCCCTGAGTGCTCGAATTACAGGCATGTGCCACCATGCCTGGCTATAAAATATGTTAATTTAAAAATATTTAAGTGCCTGTTTCAGAATAGCAGATCTTCCTGGTGTATCTATATATTTTTTTAACTTTAATTTTTTTGTTTTGATTTATGTGTATGTATGTGTGTTTGTGTGTGGGTACCCATGGAGACCAGATGAGGGCATCAGGTCTTCTGGAGCTGAAGTTGCAGGCAGTTGTGAGATGCCTAATGTGGGAACTGAGATGCAAACTCAGGGTCTCTGGAAGAGCAGCAATTGCTCTTAACAACCCCATCTTTCCAGCTTTTCTCTATAAGTTTACTTTATCAATTAAAAATTGTTTCAGGTTTTTTCCCAAATATTAAAAAGCACACTTTTTTTTGGTCTTGGGAAGCCATAATGATCTTGAAAGTACACAATAAAAGTTAAGTATAGAATAAAAAATGTACACAAGTGCATAAAATATTATGAGGATCTCGTGGTCCTTACTATATGCATTTGCCACATATAGTCTATATCTTTTGATTGCCTGACAGTGATCATTAATCAGTATGTTCTATTGCATCTATGAAGAAATGAAGTAAAGCATTGCCTGTGAAGGGAGCTGAACTTATTCTCGTTACTCATGACATGGTTTTGATGATTATCTAATTTTATGTACAGATTGATTGCTCTTTGGAGACTATTGTACAAAAAAGCTTTATGGTATCAAGTGCAATTAAGCCGAAGAATTCCTGAAGGTGACAGACAGTTAACTGAAAATATAACACATGAAGTATCCTTTGTCAAGACTCTTTTATGTCATCTCCAAAATACCCTGCAGATGGTTGGGGATAGCTTGAATCAAGCCTTAGAACTTACACCTATCAGTGGTTAGTATCTTACAAACAGTTTCTAACTTCTTGGATATGTGAAATGATAAACTGGGCTTTTTCAGAATAATTTCAGGCTGGAGATGTATCTACTGAATTTTAAAAGAATGTAAACAACTGTTATATAATCAACTTGTAATTAATTGTTGGGTAAAATAATCCTTAGGCGAAGAGTGTTTTCTGCTAGCATCATATGAAAAATCAGTTTGTTTGTGGAAGAATGCTCTACAAGAAACCCAAGAGAAAGGTAAGGGATGTTTAAAAAAAAAAAAAAGTAATGTGTTATTGTTAAGAACATAAATTAACTTGCTACAGAGTTTAAAAATATTACAAAGTTCCAAGTGTTCACACTATCTTATTGTCCAAGTAAAATGCAGATTGTAGATAACTTGACTGTCAGAAATACTGTATTTTAAATTATTCTTATTTTTAAAATCATGGCACCAAGAATCTTTTCAATGCTCTGTAGTTAAGTTTTCTGCCTACCATACTGCTGCCTGTTTAATGATAAAACCTGTGGTTGACTGTTAATGTACAGAATGAGATTTAGACCCTAAATATTTTTAAGGGCACCACAGATATCTAAATGGGAAACTATATATTAAATATCCTACCACCATCCTATAGTCATTGAGAGAACCATGGAGCTAAGCCTTCTGGCCTTTTAGAGATTTGAGAGTTTCAGGTTAAACAGAGCATTGGAGCTAAGTATGATTTGCATAGGGTTTATTATTGTTTTTGTTCGTGTGCTTTTGTTCTTTTTCAGACAGGGTTTCTCTGTGTAGCCTTGGCTGTCCTGGACTCACTTTGTTGACCATGCTAGCCTCGAATTCACAGTTATCTGCCTGCCTCTGCCTTCCTGAGTTCTGGGATTGAAGACATGCATCACCATGGCAGGCTTTTTTGCATGGGAGTTTTATAATGACATAGGACTCTAGGTTCCAGAAGTTGGTAACAACTTTTATGATACTGGGCTGAAGGTGTGACTAATATGATAAACAGTTCCTAGCTGGTGGCTCTGTACATAGCCTAAGTGTAGTTTCCTTGCTCAGAGCACCACAGCGCCACGCTTTACATTTATTTCTGGCTGCTTTAGCTTTGCATACTCCCCTTTTCATCTGTTCAGGGTTTTCTCAGTGCTTACTGTAGCCCAGCACTGTATAAGGCACCAGAGGTAACAAAATTAAAAGCTTACCTTCTGTTACAGTCACTTGGATGAGCTTGGGAACACAGGAGCACTTCCTGCAGTCTAAGTCTTTGTCAGTGTTCTATTGCTGTGAAGAGACACTGTGACCACAGCAACTCTTATAAAGAAGGAAAGCATTTAATTGGACCTAACTTACATTTGCAGAGTTTAGTTCATTATCATTATAGCAGGAAGCATGGCAACAGGCAAGTAGACATGGTGCTGGAGGAGCCAAGACCTTTACATCTTGATCTGAAGGCAGCCAGGAGGAGACTATTGCACACTGGGCAGAGGTTGAGTTTTACGAGACCTCAAAGCCTATCCCTATAGTGACACACTTCCTCCAAAAAGGCCACACCTACCAAATATCAGAGTGCACCATGGAATATTAGTTGTTTCCCATGTGATTGTACAGCTGACTAGGAGCTAAGACTCACTGCTGCTCTTCAGCATTGCTTATTACATATAACTTCTAGCTCAGAAAAAATTTTAAAAACAAAAAATAGATTTCGGCTGAATATGCATGGCTTTCCTGTCATCACAAAGTTTAAAAGTCTTGCAAGAACAGCAAGTACAGATCTAGCTTTCCAGCTCACATAAATGCATTTTTGTTTTATGATATTTTTTATTTATGATGGGTTTATTGGGAAATAACCCTGTTATAAATCAAGGAGCACCTTTATAGGTCATTTAGGAAGCTCACTTTGATACATTTGTGGTTTGAGGGGTTAGGGTTGTACATAAAGCAAGACTTTTACTTAGATGAAGAGACTGAACCAAAACATTTGATTAATGGAAACTGTGATTGAGTAGATTTGGGGAAAAAGTTTAATGTAGTTCTCAGTTTTGAGCTCTGGTTAGCTAGATAGAGAGGAATTCGTTGAAGTAGAAAATTTTAGATCAGTAGTGTTCTCTCTCTCTCTTCCCCCCTTAACATTTTATTAACTCTTTGTGAATTTCACATCATGTACCCCAATCCCAATCATCTTCCATTTCTCTATATTTGCCCTGTGTCCTTGCCACCTTCCCTTCAAAATAGAACAAATTTCACTATGGAAATTGTATGTCACATAGTATACCCTTTTGCCCAAACAGCAAATTTACTTGCAAATGTTCATTATAATGAGTCATTGGTCTGGTTCAAGGTCTCTGGCTTCTGTACACTATCCATACTGGAGCCACACCAGGATTTCTCTTGGATATCCTGTTGTTGCCCTTGGTCTGGAAATCTTGCAGCTTTGGTTCTGGGGCACTGGCCTCTTCATGTGTTCTAGCAGTTCATAGATGGGGTAGATGTTGGGGTGGGTCATCTCAAAGCCCTAGATCTGGGTATGTATGCTAGCTTAGCTGGTCAGCCCAACAGTTCTCCTGCCCCATGCCACTAGGCTAGCTCTCCTACACTACTACCCAGGTGAGGGACAGCTCAGTGCCTCAGCCACCAAGGGGTAGGGCCGGCTCTCAGGCTCTAAGGCCCTAGGGGACAGCTCTCTTCCGTGCCTAGCTGGGTTACCTCCTTTTAGGGGGCATTCTGTAATATTTGCATAGACTTGGTTCACATGAGGGCTTATTGTAATAACACCAAATAAAATGAAATTCTTTCACTCAGAAAATCAAGGTAGAAATCAACAGAAGACCTTCATGCCAAGATGGTGAGAATTTGCAGCTCTTTGGGTAGCATCTGTCATCTTAGGGTCTACTGAAAAGAAGACAAAATGATTTAGAACTTACAATGAAAAGACCCTAAGTGTTGCTGACTTAATAATAATAATAATAATAATAATAATAATAATAATAATAATAATAATAAAAAACTATTATCATTTTGAGACTGGGTCTTCCCTTGTAGCCCTGCCTAGCCTAGAACTAACTCTCTGTGTAAACAAGGCTGACCTTGAATTGAGAAATCCCATGGCCTCTGTGTCTGAGTAGTAGGATTAAAGGAATTGCTGCCATGTATGATTGCTGTTTGTTTTTTTCTTTCATATTTTTATTGATTATTTGTGAATTTCACATCGTGCACCCCAGTCCTCCCAGGTCTGTCCCCTACCCTTGTGACTTCCCCAAGAAAAGAAGAAAAAAATTCAATTTATGTTGCCCATATATTCACTGGAGCACAGTCAAATTCCTGCTGGCCAGTCCCTTAAAAAAACCTGAGTCAGAAATCTTTTATTGCTGAGTAGTATTCCATTGTGTAAAAATACCACAATTTCTGTACCCATTCCTCCGATGATGGACATCTGGGTTGTTTCCAGGTTCTGGCTATTACAAATAATGCTGCTATAAACATGGTTGAGCAAATATCCCTTTTGTGTACTTGAGCAAACTTTGGGTATATACCTAGCAGTGGTATAGCTGGGTCTTGAGGAAGCACTATTCCTAATTGTCTTAGAAAGCACCAGATAGATTTCCAGAGTGGTTGTACCAGTTTACATTCCCACCAGCAGTGGAGGAGGGTTCCCCTTTCTCCACAACCTCTCCAGCATGTGTTGTCCCTTGAGTTTTTCATCTTGGCCATTCTGATGGGTGTAAGGTGATATCTCAGGGTCGTTTTGATTTGCATTTCCCTGATGGCTAATGAAAAAAGAGGAAATCATGAAATTTGCAGGCAAATGGTGGGATCTAGAAAAGATCATTCTGAGTGAAATATCCCAGAAGGAGAAAGACAAACACGGTATATACTCACTTATATAGACCTATAAGATATGATAAACATAATGAAATCTACACACCTAAAAAAGATAATCAAGAGAGCGGACATGGGGTAAGATGATCAATCCTCGTTTAGAAAGACAGATGGGATGCGTATTGAATGTATGACAAGAGTCTACTGAGCGCATTTGAAAGACTCTAAGTAGCCGTGTTTTCAAAGCAAAGACTCATGACCAAACCTTTGGCAGAGTACAGGGAATCATAAGAAAGAAGGGGAGTTAGTCTGATGAGAAAAGGATAGGAGCTCCACAAGGACCAAATATATCCGGGCACAGGGTCTTTTCTGAGACTGACATGCAACCAAGGACCATGTATGAATGTAACCTAGAACCTCTACTCAGATGTAGCCTGTGGTAGCTCAGTAACCAATTGGTTTCCCATAGTGAGGGGAACAAGGACTATTTCTAACAGGAACTCAATGACTGGCTCTTTGGCCTCCCCACCCCCCAAGGGAGGAGCAGTCCTGTTAGGCCACAGAGGAGAGCTTTGCAGCCAGTCCTGAAGATACCTGATAAAACAGGATCAGATGAATGGGGAGGAGGTCCCCCCTATCAGTGGACTTGGCAAGGGGCATGGTGGAGATGAGGGAGGGAGGGAGGGACTGGGAGGGAATGAGGGATCGGGACACGGCTGGGATACAGAGTTAATAAAATGTAACTGATAAGAAAAAAATAAAATTAAAAAAAAAAGAAATCTTTTATTGAAGTATAAAGCAGATGCAAAAACAAACCTACATGTCAAAATTATATAACTTGATGAATTTTCACAATATCATATTTCTGTCTACATGGCACTAGCCAATTAGCAGTCCCTTGCTACCATGCTTCTAAGTTTACTCTTTTCTGTTTCAGGAGGAAAAAGGACATGCTTTCTTCAGTTGCGCTACTATCTGTCTCTCTTGTACTGCCACCTCTACCGCTATAATTTAAACGATGCTCAAGGATTATGTGATCACCTAGTAAGAGAGATACTTAGCTGCGCTCAGTTACCTGTAAAAGAAAGTAAAGATTGCTCAGGTATACGTTCTAAAATTTGCTGTTTTCTTTCTTTTGAAACAGGGTCTTGCTGTGTTTCTCTCTGACTTTCTTGGTACTTATGTACCAGCCCCATGCTGACCTTGGCTTCATGGCAATCCTGCCTCAGCCTCCTGAGTGCTGGAATTATAGGCATGTGCCAGCCAATTGACTTAATTTCATTAGTTTTTATTTATGAATCTAGAGAACAGTGTTTACACCAAAAATTGCCGTGCTTTCACAGTGACTAAGTTATTCTTTATGGATTTTGGATAGTCATCTTTTCAGTGGCTTATAACACAGCTGTTCATTGAGATTTATCCAAGAACTCATTAAAATTATTTCTCTCAAGGAGTCAAAATATGTTCACCTGCGCCTGAAGTCCTTTCTTTTCTCAGTTCTTTGTTATTTAATTTTTTGTATATTCTGGATATTCTCTTGTAGTAAAGTTGATGTCTTTCCTCAAGTTGTATTTTTGGCATCTTTGTCAAATATTGGATATTGTAATGACATGAACTTAAGTTTAGATCTTCTATCCCATTCTGTTGATCTCTTTTATCACCTTTGTGTGTTACTGTGCTGTTTCTATTACTATAACTCTAATAATACAGCTTGAAATCCCTTTAGCACTGTTCTTTTTACTCAATATTGCTGGGCTATCCGTTTTTGGGCTTCTATATGAATTTTTTTTATTTGTTTGTTTTTTGAGACAGTGTTTCTCTGTGTAGCCTGGGCTATCCTGGACTTACTTTGTAAACTAGGCTGGCTTTAAACTCACAGAGATCTGCCTGCCTCTCCCTCCCAGAGCACTGGGATTACAGGTGTGTACCATCACACCTGTCTTTTCTCTATGAATTTTAATGTTTTTTTTTTCTGTTTCTGTGAAGAACATTATGAATATATTGACTGTGATTGTATACATTCTGTAAATTGATTTTGGCAGAATTTTCATTTTTACAATATTCTACCAATCCATGAACACAGGATATCTTCCCATCTTCTGGTGCCCTTCTCAGCTTCATTTACCTCCTTGGTTAGGTTTATTCCTAGATACATATTTATTGAAGTTATTGAAGTTGTGAATAGGAGTGAATATTGTGAATATAATAAGTATATTTAAAAGGCTACTTTTGTTGTTGTTCTGTTTTTCGAGACAGCGTTTCTCTATGTAGCCTTGGCTGTCCTAGACTCACTTGGTAGAACAGGCTGGCCTTGTACTCATAGAAAGCTACCTTCCTCTGCCTCCTTAAGTGCTGGGATTACAGGTGTGCGCCACTGCACCTGGCTGGCTACTGTATTTTATAAGTTGGTTTTGTGTGTTTGTGTATTCTGCCACTTCACTGAATGTATTGTTTGCTTCTGCAAGTTTTCTTATGAAATTCTTGGTATTTCATATATATATTATCATATCTATAAATGGGAAAATTTGACTTCTTTTCCTATTAGCATCCCTTTAATTTCCTTCCTGTGTTTTAATGCCTAGCTATGGCTTCAAGCATTGTATTGAAAGGCAGCTGTGCTCACCACTATACCACCAGTATACCACAAGCCCTATTTTAAAGAGAGTGGGGATGTTGAATAGCAACTCTTAAGTGAGCGTAGGCAAGGGCCCTCGGGGAGTCATGTGTCTGGTGTGATTCTAGGATGTGATTCTGGATAGATCTGAGCATGTAGGGGCAGTTCGTGTTGGGGTCTGGGAGACTGTCCTGGTTGGCTTGTACTCCACTGTGACAGTGGATGGGCCTGAGAGAGGGGGTTGTGTCAGACAATTTTACTTTTTGTAGTGTGTTGAGACTGTCTTAGTTGTTTGCTGTATTCCTTAGGTTCTGAGAAGTCTCATTGTGAGTTTGCAGTCACTGGAAGTGTACATCCTGAGGCAGCAGTCAGGGTTGTCCAGTGCATGGCCCGCTTCATGGCTGCCTATTTCACCAACGAGCCACTCTTCATTTTTCCACCTCACAGTGTGAATGTTCTTCCTCCGCTTCATGTTGAAACAGGTAATATGGTAAACAAATGCTTTTCTACCTTGCTACACACGTGGTAACTGGAATCAGTATCCTATGGAAATCGCATTGGTTTGGCTCGTTACTCAAACTTGTCTCCGTTTCTGAACCCATTGTTACTTGCTTTAGTGTTTTTTGTTGTTGTTGTTTTTGTGAGACAGGTTTTTTTGTCTTAGCCTCCTGAATAGCTGAGATTATAGATGTGAGCTGCTGTTTATGCACAGCTCACATTAACTTACCTTCCTTTCTTTCCATCCATGCATCCATCCATCCATCCACTCACCCATCCATCCATTTATGCATCCATCCATCTGACAAGGGGAGGTGTTGAAACCAGAGTGTCATGCATGCTTGGCAAGTGCTCTATCATTGAGCTATATCTCAGACCCTTTTTTCAGTTGTTGCTTGCTGAGACAAGGTTTCATGTAGCTCATGTAAGCCTTAAACTCACTGTGTAGCCAAGGACAACTTTGAATTCCTTTTGATTCTCCTGCTTCTGCTTCTCAAGTATTGTCAGTGACATGTGTTGTGCCTAGTTGCCAGTCCTCTAGTGTATGTGTGTGTGTATGTGTATATATGTGCCAAAGCCAGGGAAGACTTCAGGTGTCATTCCTCAGATACTATCTAATCATGTTTTCTTTGTGTTTGTTTTTGAGTTGGGTCACTGGGTTGGAGTACACCAAATAGACTAGACTGGTGGGCTAGCATCTCAAGATCAATCTGTCTGTGCTGTCCCAGTCCAGAGATTACAAACATACACAAGCATACCTGGCTGTTTAAAATGTGGAGCTCCAACTCAAGTCTTCATGTACACAAGCCACTTTATTGACAAAACTCTTTCCAGATCCCAGACCTCTTGCTTTAAAACCACTGCTGTAGCTCTTGGTCTGGAACAGATGTATATACATATACTTCATTAAACAGTATTCACCTTTATTTTGTTTAATGCACTTACTCAGTTTCTGCTGTGTTTATTTTTTAAGGATATTTATATTTTATGATAGCCCATTTAAGAAAGTACATATTTCAGTATTAATAAACTGTTCTAGAGGGTATAATTTGATTTTATTCTGTATGCCTCTTCATTGTTGTGTTTGAAAATAGTAACTAAAGAGATTATTTTATGTGAGAAGGCATGAGCTTGAGTATATATATGCAATTGTGATATCATTTTTTTCTTAATTGACTCACAGAACATTCCCTGCGACTTATTCCTTTACAACACTCTAATGTGGCCAGTTTTGTTAGAGATCAGAATCTCTCAAATGTGTGGACAGTTGAATATGCCCTCGAATTACTACTTATTGGTGGCCTGATTCCAGAGGCTGTGTGGTTGGCGCATAAACTTGGAGACTGGAAGACATCTGTTTCCATTGGTGTAGCCTTCCAAGTGTTCTCTAAATATAATCACAGTTTTGTGAGGTATGGATTCTTAAGATTATCTATCTACTTACCTACCTATCTACCTACCTACGTACCTACCTATCAAGCTACCTACCTATCCATTTTGTGTGTGTGTATGTGTATGAATATGTGTGTTTGGATGAATTTATGTCATGGTGCTTATGTGAAGGTCAGAAGACAAGTTGTGGAGGTTAGTTCTCCTCTTCTACCATGTGAATTTTAAGAATTGAGGTAAGGTCATCAGGCTTGGCAGCATGCGCTTTTACCTGCTTAGCCATCTCACCAGCCCAAGGAATGGATTTTTAGATATTGCATAATATCTAAAGTGAGGGGAGGGGCAGAAATACTCCATGTAGGAGATGTCCTTTCAGATACACATGGAAGGGTAGATAGCATGTTGATGAATTGAGCAGCTAAGGGTGAGAACATCCGAGCATGAGCAAAAGCCATTTGGCAAAGAAGTTTTGGTTTATTTTAGGTAGAATACATATGAAGGATGGCAGTGAGAATGAAGAAATATTGGATCCTCTGAAGAGCTTTAACATAGTGTTTTTTTTTTTTTTATTTTTTGTAAGTAGGGTGAACAAAGCAAGTGACTTCATACTTTCTTAAATACATTTACTTCTTGGTACAAAAAATTTCCTTTTTCCAAAAATTTTATTTCTCTTAATTTGTTCTCATTTCAGGTCCAAGAAAAAGGATATGGATCTACCATTAAATATGGTACCAGCACAGATTTTCCAGGAAAAACTGCAGTGCTTTTTAGGTCAACCAGTCTCTTTGGAAGCAAAAAATGAAAAGGACTCTAAATATAAGCAATTTACAGGTGTGTTAACTACATGTCTTCTAAGTATCAGGTTAATATAAAACTTGTGCTATTACAGAAGCTTATGGATATTTAGAAAAATGAACACCTTGAAAAAAATTATCAAAAATTTAAGGATGGTATTTATATTCAATAATGGGAGCACCTAAAACTGATGTCACATGAGCTGCAGTGGTAGCTCAGTGGCAGAGCACTGGACTGCCATGTGCTTTGCTCAGGGTCTGATCCTGAGTACGAAAGAAAGAAAGAAAAGAAAGAAAGAAAGAAAGAAAGAAAGAAAGAAAGAAAGAAAGAAA